GCGCTCCTGCCCCAGGCTCCTCTCCCCGGCTCCCCGCGGGGTGGCGGCCCGCTGCCTTCCCCGTCCCGCACGCCCCTGCTGCCCGCCGGCGCGGCTCCCTCCCCGCGGGCGGCAGGCTCGGCTCTCCTCCGCGGCGCCGGTTCCCTCCTCCCCTCGCCGGCGGAGGAAGGAGGCGGCCGCCGGCCCTCCCCGACCGCGCATGCGGCAGTGCCGGGCCGGGGCAGCGCTGCCGCGCTCGGGGGCTGAAGTGTGGGTGTCCCATCCCCCGGCCCCGTCCCCTCCTCCCCTGCGGGCCCCCGGCAGCGCCCCCGCAGATGGGCTTGGGCTGGAGCAGCGCGGAAGAGCGGCGGCCCCTCCTGCCGCCGCCGCCGCAGCAGCCGCGGCCGCAGCCGCGGGGGCGGGCGGGGGTCCCGGCGGGGCGGCTGCCGCCGCTGTCGGGCCGCGTGTACGGGCGGCGGTGGCTGGTGCTGCTGCTGTTCTCGCTGCTGGGCTTCGCGCAGGGCCTGGTGTGGAACACCTGGGGCCCTATCCAGAACTCGGCCCGCCTGGCCTTCGGCTTCAGCGGCTGGGACATCGCACTGCTCGTCTTCTGGGGGCCCATCGGCTTCGCGCCCTGCTTCTTCTTCATGTGGCTCATGGACAAGAAGGGTGAGCGGGGCCGGGGGCGGCGGGGCCGGGGGTTCGGGACTCCCGACCCGCTCCTGTGGCTTTCCCCGGGCCAGGCGGGGACGCCGTGGCCGTGTCCCCCGGCGCCGCGGTCCCGTGGCCGGTGAAGGGGACGCTGCCAGACTGGGGACACTCGGGCCCAGTGGCCTCGGCCTTAAAAAGGGTTGCCTAATACTTAAAAGGCATCATGACTGCTGTTTTCAGTGCTCTGCCCAAACGAAGACACATCAAAGGCCATTCACAAGGAAGATACTTAAGCTAAGCGGAATTAGGGCATCTGACGTCGCATGGGAGGTGTGGGACTGGAGGAGTGTGCTCCAGTCCGGCATTGCCATCCTGCTGTTTGACCTGAAGATGGTCGTGATTTCTGGTTACCAGCTGTGAAACAAACACGCATTGATGTTTCGATCAAGTAATGCCATTGCTCAGGGTGGCCATTGCATCTCAAAAGAAGTTCTTCATTTTTAAAAGCAGGCTGGACATGAAGTCGGTGGTTTTCTTTGCATTGTGCTAGGGAGATAAAAGTGCAGGGAACACAGAGAAGTTGCACTTCGGTGTTTCGAAGAGACTACAAGGGAGAGTTTCCTAATTTGTGTTCAGGCCATTGCATCTCCATAGCAAACTTACAAAAATGGTGTTTGTCTCTGGAGAGCTTCTCCAGCATGGTTCCTCTGTGATCACCCAGGGGACTGTTCCAGTGAGGTCAAGTACCTATGTTTACAGATTTCAGCTTTTGGGCCTAAATCCACTGAAGGGATTTCTTTTAATTCCTGTTTAAGCGGACCTCTAAACAGGAGATAGCCAGCAGTGGACCCTTGTGGCTCCTGATCCTAAGTGCTACTTATTCCATTTATTTAGGAATTAATAACTCATTTGTGGGAAAGGAAGGGGAAGAGGAAGGGAAAGTGAAAGCAGGCAGGGAGAAAAGCTGTATTTGAGAAGGCCTGTTTCAAAACTGGGATTACTTTTCCTAAAACTGAAGAGGCATTGGAGGAATAAAATTTACTGGGCTGAAAGTACATTCTCGAAATGAGTCCATGGTGGCTGTACATCTCTCAAGCAGTTTACACTTAAGTTGGCAATATCTGTCTCGGCTGATACATAATAGTGTTGTTAATGATTTTAAAATTAAAGTAAGTTGCTTTGCTTTGTACGGTGAAGACTGACTGCTCATGGCATGAAGGAAATAAAGGTAAATGTGAACCTGTGCTTAGAGAGCTGTCTGTATTTTTGTTTCTACATTTTTTGTGTAGTTGATCCTG